CCTCTCATGTTTCTTTTAATGGCTCTGATTCCTCGCATGATCTTGAAATCTCAAATCTGTTCGCTGAGTACTTCCGTCAAAACTTTTCGACTGCTAATTCCGATTTATCCGCAAACTACCTATATCCTATAACCAACTTGGTTTGAATTCCTAATTTTGTTGTTGCTGAAGATGATGTTTTTAAAGGCCTGAGCTCTTTAAAATACAGTTGTGCGCCTGGGCCTGATGGAACTCCATCAAGGGTACTTCAATCTTGCGCTGTCGAGTTATATGGTGTTATCTCTAAGATTTTTAACCGGTCTCTGAATTTAGGTGTTTTCCCTTTGTGTTGGAAGAGTAGTATCCTTATTCCTATTCACAAAAGTGGAAGTAGACAACTTGTTGAGAACTACAGAGGCATAGCCAAGTTGAGTGTCTTGCCTGAGCTGTTTGAGCAATTTGTGACTCAGCATTTGGCCTTTGCCATTATATCGTATATTTCTCCACACCAGCATGGCTTTCGAAAAAGGCGATCTACAGTCACCAATTTATTAGAGTTTACTTGTCATATTTTCAAGGCTTTTTCTAGAGGCTGTCGCACAGATGTAATGTATACTGTTTTAAGCAAAGGGTTTGATTTGGTTAACCATAACTTACTTGTCTTTAAACTCGAAGCCTCTGGCTTCCCTTTCGATTAGGTGAAATGGATAAACTCTTATCTGCACAATAGATCTTTCAGGGTTTTGTTTAACTTCACCACTTCGGATGAATTACCCCTGGCATCTGGCATACTTCAAGGCAGCCACTTAGGTCCCAGTTTATTTAGTTTATACATTAATGATCTCCCATCGGTGATTAATTCCAGTTAGATCTTAATGTATGCTGATGATGTGAAACTGTTTTCTTTCCTCTCTTTAGAATCGCAATCACATCAGCTTCAAAGTGATTTGAATAATTTAGTTGAATGGTGCTCTTTGATTCTTCTGAAACTAAACCTAAATAAATGTAAGAAGATTTCTTTCTCAAGAAGGAAGTCGTTCATTACTCAGTATTTCATTGATTCGCATAAGTTGGAAGACGTCCATTCGTTCACAGATTTAGGCGTTCTATTTGATTATAGATTACGTTTCAATGTGCATATTGAGCTCTCGTTAAGCAAAGCTAGGTCCGTGCTCGTTAAGCAAAGGTGGTCCAAAGAGCTTGATGGTCCTTACATTACAGAAAGGCTGTACATGTGTTTGGTTAGATCTATACTTGAGTATGTCTCTTTTGTATGGTCTCCTTCATATAGGTGCTATGTAGATTCAATTGAATCTGTTCAAAAGCAATTCTTGCTGTTAGCCCTTAGTAATTTGGGTTGGGACCCGATTGTCTCTCTTCCCCCCTATGAAAATAGGTTGCTTCTGTTTTCCCTACTGTCTCTGGAGAAACGTAGATTTGTTCTTGGCGTTTCCTTCGTAATCAAAGTAATACATGGTGCTATTGACTCGCCTGCATTACTTGGTGAAATAAGCTTTAATGTCCCCAACCGCTTCTCTAGGCACTTTATCTTGGTTAAGCTTAGTCAATGTAAATATAATTATAAGCTGTTTAATCCGCTCAGAGTTGTTTGCAAGAACCTAAATGACGTCTATCACTTATTCTCATTATCGGACTCTTTAAAGTTCATTAAAGCAACATTGCTTAATACGCGTAATTTACCTATATCGTACTTAAACTAGCTCTCAACCTTAAAAAGTTGTTACGATTCGTAAATTAATTGTTGTTAATTACTATCGGTTGCCAAGCTTATGCATGTTTGCGATGGCTTAGGGGTTCATTTGCAATTTGGTCCTGTACCGGTTGTGGGTGTGGCTCTATGCCAGATGTGTACATGTTTTTTTTTTCCTTCTTATTTGTTTTATTATATATTTATTGTTTTAGTATACTAAGTTTTAATATTAATTAATTTAAGATTTACTTTACGAGTCAATTGAACTCGACTGTCAATTTATTTTAGTTCAGTTTCTTATATAAGTAGAATAAATAATACTAACTCGGTAGCCCTTAAACCCTCAAAAAACTAAGAGTGTCTTCAGGTCAAGTAATTTTCATTTACCAATATGTTAGGGGCTTAAACGCAGAGATCATTTTATTTTCCTAAGTTCAGTTTCCTGTTTGGCCTTCACTAAAACATGGTTAAAGCCTTATTTACATTCGTCGGAACTTTTTTACAGTTCTTTCCACGTTTTCAGAACCTATCGATTGAATTGCACTGGTGATGGTGTTCTAATTGCCATGTCTGCCATATTGTCATTAGTAATAATTACTATAAGATTCACTTCTAAGAGTCAATTGAATTCGGCTGTTAATGTATTTTAGCTGAGGTTCATATGTAAATAAACAAACAAATAAATAAATTTTTGTCCTCTTTTGATACCACAATATTTGCATTCGAACAAGAAAAAAAAAAGAACTCTCTTATATTACATCACATACTTTTATTAGGTTTTAAGTTTTGGTGTATATCATTTTTGTCGGTATGTATTTCTGGCTTCACTTTTGATAACATATAATTTCATTTTTGGTTTCCTCTTTGTTTTTATTTAGGGTTTAAATTTTAGTTATATATTCAGATTCATTCATATTCATTCTTTACTTTGTTGAGGATATTTTTTACTAATGATATCCTCATTTTCGACTTGCAGAATTTTGAGTCATTGTTGCCTTTTTGCTTTTGCCTGTTTGGTTTTCAACACAGTTTTTGAATTCTTCAAACTTACTTACGAATTCTTCCTTATTTTTAGTAGAGTAGCCAAACCTTTGGTGTGAATGATCATCTATAAGATTTAGTATATATAGTGAACCGGCTATCGATTTCGCTTCCTTCGCCCAAATAATGCCAATAACAATGGTTTCGCACGTTTACCTTTTGTATTAAACAAAACGGTCGTATTGAAAATTCTCCTATCAAGCAAGTTACGCAATTGTCGTTTATATATGCCGTTTTGTACGTATATTGAACATGACAATTCTGACAGCACCAGGAATTATCTTCCGTAAAACTTCGGTGCTGTCTCTGATGTATGCCTAGCAACTCTTGCAACGCTTGGCTGAGCGTTATCATGCAAGACAATTACATTTCAATTATATTAACCGTTATTGCTAGTCTTCTTTGCAACGTTACCTCGTTCAATTTGATCAATTGAAGTCGCTTGTTCAAAGGACTGCCTGTCACATTCTGTTTCATTCGGATTTAACAGCTCGTAATAATCTACATTTTGCTGATCCCACAATATGTACAACAAAATATTATGTTGATTCTGTTTGAAATGGCAACTTTCAGTCCATTCACATGGTAACTATTTTCTCTCTTTTTTCGTCCTCCAGGCCGTTCTTCATCATTGACGTCAAAATCATCACTTGTAATCCATTGAAACCAAAAGCGGCAATTGGGATATGATGGACCAGCATCACTATAAGCATCTAATTATTTCATGAATTTTGGCAGATGATTTCTTCAAATCAAGCAAAAAAAGTAGTGGACGGCAAAAATGTATTTGCATGTTTTGCGATCTGTGTACAATGAATAACTGAATAATAATAAATGGAAAACTATTACTTTACATATAAAAAGCTCAAAATCTTCGAGTTTAAGCGTTGTGCATATTGACACTTCGCATTATTTATCATTTTCACTAATAGCAACTAATGCAAACACCTAATATTTCTTCTTTTGCGTTGAAAAAGCTGCGTCTCAAGTATATTCTAATTTTCCTTCCGGCAATAATTTTAATTTAACTGGATTGCCAGCTATCTTTATTCTTGAACTTTGAAGTCGCCTTCTGAGCTCAGCTATCCATTCTGCTTGCAAGCTTGAGCCCAGCAGTTGTCAATTTATGCTCTGCGGTAGGAATTTCGGGCGCATGTTCATCAACAGAAGCAAAATTCTTCACTTTTATTAAACGGAGCCTTTGTGTAAGGTTGACACGTCTTAGCAAACCAATGTCTTTGAAAAGTTTGTATAGCATTTTTGACATTTCATTTGTAGGTTTGCATTCACGAATATGGGGATGTATTGTCTTGTCTGTCATCAAAATTACTTCTGCCTTCGCCTAGATAAGCTTTTCTTCTCTAACTTTGTCTCCCCTTACGACCTTACATACATGTTTCATTCGCAGATAAGCTTCCCCAAAAACTTGCAGCCCTCAAAGTTTTCACTTTCTCGCAGCTTTTCAATAAAATTGTTATTGGAGAAAGTTTTTATTTTTATACTCACCACTGAAGGATACCCCCGTGCACTCACTCATTTTGCTTTTTTCGTAATGTATGTAACACACAAAAGGAAGCTGCAGAGACCCTCATCAGCGTTAAATTTTGAGTTGATTAAGCCATGTTTGTCCGTGCGTGTATCTGCGTTGTGGTTGTTGTTGGCATTCTCCTTGTCGCAAAACTAAAGATATTGGCTTCAAATTTAATAGAAAATGGGCTAAATTGATCAGAGCAGAAGCCCGCACTGGACCATAAACTGAACAGAACTCTGTTTTTTATAACAATAATTTGTGAGTTTCTGCTCGTTATTAAGAAATTATAAAAATTAGAATGCTGCAATTTTCCACATTTACTTTACGAAAGACTCTAGTTTTTACGTTTAAAAATGGAACAAATCGGCCATGCGCGTTACAAGTGATTTAAGTTTATTTTTTCCACATTTTTGGGTTTTTATGCTTATTTACCATAACGCAAACAAGACCGAATGTTTAAAAGTATTTTGTACGTCCCTTAAATGAAGATTTATTGTCTGCCTAAAAATGGGTTAATTCTAAAATAAATATTGTAAATACCGCCATAAATTTTTTCTTATGTTTTGCTTATGTTTTACAGATTTATCTGTAAGACACTAAAAACTAAAAAAAAGAAAAATGGTTCACTTTAAAATCAAGTCAACTTTTCTTCAAAGCCATAGCGACTGAATAAATTCTTCATGTATTAAATTAAGCGCGCTTGAGAGCTTTATTAAGTTTTAGTGTGACTTTGTAGAACATATGCATGCTTAGCGTTGTAAGTGGTGGAAGCTGTCACATAACTATTAGTCCTAAATGGTAATCTAAAAATCAATATAACAATTGAAGTGCTTTCTTATACATATTTGTGAAGACATCCATAAAATAAGGTAAACATTATTACAAATTTTAAGTAAAATGCATAATTCTCAACGCTTAAAACTTAGTCAACGTTATAATAAATGCATAAATTAAACATAACGAAATTTCTAGAAGTGGAACGATAATTTTCTTGAAATTGTTGTATTTGATGTAATGAACGCTATTTTATTATATATACTTAATTGTGCGTTATGGGAGCGTTGCTAATATTCGAAATCTTAAATTAAATCTGTATAGGGTTTCTGTTAAAAATTTTCCAAGATTTTATTATTGTGAAATACATGTGCCGAGTTCTTTTGCATTGTTTTTGGTATCAACTACAAAAATGTTCAGATTCATGAAAGAGGCATGACAAACTGTAAAAATAACTGTAGCCTTTGTAGAACAAGGGAATAGGCATAGAAAGGAAACCCTCTTAAAGAACTCCTAATGATCTCATGTGTATATTGCCTCAATAGTTATAACAACAGTTTTTGCACAGCTATATAGAAAGCAAGTTAAATCAAGATAGGAAATATGCTAGAACGGTGCCACTTTTCCCAAAACGTATTAAGGCCTTTGCATTTTTTACACTCTTATTAATATAGGAATAAATAAATACTTAGACGAATGTAACTTCGTTACATACAATTTTTCCAAGTGCAGTACCAAATAGGAAAATAATGAATCAAGAAACCGTTAACCCTTTCGGGTATGAACAATCGGGAAGCTATGAATATATTCAGCGTGAAGGGATGACGGCAATATCTTCAACTGCGGGTAACGTTTTGCAACAACCACTAGGAACGGAAGCCCGTCCACGAGTTGATATCGATGCCTCAGGAGAAGTAGATCCAACGATGTAACTTTAAATATTTGTAATTGCAGATCGTATTTATATTGTATTACTATCTTATCAGGTATCCAGAGCCGAAAGAAGGAACGAAAAAAATTAGAGGTCATGCCGATGTCTTAGAAATGTTTTGCGGAACGACCGAGAAGGAACTTATTCCAGTGAAGAGTTTTTATTTTTTTTTCTATGCAGCTTTCGGATCTTTATTTCCCTTAATGGGAGTATATTTTAAGCAAATGGGAATGAATCCTGGACAGTGTGGAATATTAATTGGAATGAGGCCATTTGTGGAGTTTTTATCAGCGCCATTTTGGGGTTCTTACGCGGATAGGCAAGTATACTGCGTCATACACAAACCCTTGTAAATTGTTAAGTTTCACTGGTTAGGTGTCGTCAGGGAAAAAGGCTATTGTTAGCGTCACTGTCCTGCTGGATACTCTTCACCATACCATTAAGCTTCATCAAACCAGAAGCAGTAAAATGCATTGAAAGAAATCATTCAGATTATATTTTGACATACGCTAGAGCAAAAAGAGACGTTAACTATTTTTCGCCTATTTCTGTACCTTTAAACCTAAGACCGGAAGTGGAGTCCATTGATTTTATAGAAAGTTGCCACAGCAGGTGAGCATAATTCTAAATAAAAATTTTAAATAACTCATTTAATGGTAACATCAGACGAAAACGTTCCTTGTTTCCACGCATCGATGCTGGTATATCGCCAATTCATATAAATTTTGTGAGCAATTATGACGATAAGCAACATGGTGACTATGTGAGTCCTATATTTTCAAGCATGGTGTATAGAACTCCGGTACGTTTTCGATTACAATGTACAATATATATAAACCTTTGGCGTATTAATATGTATACTTATTTTTCAAATTTGTTTTTGTACAGGATATACAGAAAGCTTTTTTTCTTCTGCTACTGGTTATTTTAATTGGCGAGTTTTTCAGTGCGCCGGCGATAACATTAGCTGACTCAGCCGTCATCACCCTTTTGGGTGAGGATGCCGACAAATATGGACACCAACGAATGTTTGGATCCTTCGGTTGGGGGATATCAATGTTTTTCGTCGGTATTGTGTTAGATCATTCGACTTCATTTTCCCATCACCCTTGCGGTGCTGGTCATATGGAAAAGAATTATAATGTTTGTTTTGGAATTTTTTCAATTTTGATGACCTGTGCTATTATATCGGCATCAAAAATAACATTTAAGTATGACCCAGTTGGAGTTGATCCAGAATCATCAGAAGACATCATAGATCCAAACACAAAGGCTGAAGAAGAGTCTATGAATCAATTAGCTACCCAATTAAATTTGCCCTCACTGGTAGTTGGATCAGCTTCAGCAACTGCCAGGAGTACAAAGTCGTTATCTAATACACAGCCTAACATAGGTGCGGAATCGAAAATGTTCGCTCAAACTACAAAAGAAATGCCTGAATGGATGACGGTATTAACACATTTTAAGGATCTTAAAACTTGCGCCTTCTTATTCGTTGCTTGGTTTATGGGCTTCGGAATTGGATTAATATTTACCTTTTTGTTCTGGCACTTGCAAGATTATGGAGGTACCCCAACGCTTTTCGGAGTTGCTTCTGTAATCAATCATGTTTCAGAAATATTTGCATATTTCTTCAGTTTCCGATTAATCACACAAATTGGACATGTAAAAGTCTTATGTTTGGGTCTTATTGGAAATGTGATACGATTTCTGTATATATCTTATTTAAGAAACCCATGGATGGTTTTACCTTTCGAGCTTATGCAAGGAATAACACATGCTGCTGTATGGGCTGCGTCATGCTCATACATTGCTCATATTACCCCAAAGCAATTAAGAGCCTCAGCTCAAGGTGTTTTACAAGGCATTCATCACGGCTTGGGTCGAGGATGTGGTGCTATAATAGGAGGTATGTTCGTGACATATTATGGAACAACAGCAACATTTCGTTGGTACGGTGTAAGTTGCCTGTTCGTGCTGGGTTTCTTCGTGTTTGTTAACTTTTACCGAAAAGAGCAAGGATTTATTTCTGATATACCTGCTACAGAGGATCCCCACCAGGTAAGGAAAACTTTTATAATTGTAATTTTTCATTCCATATACCAGCAACATAGAAACTGACACCATCGCAAAATTAAAACTTAACTGTATTCAATTGCAATTTTAATTTTAAACTACCCAGACCACGTTTTTTAAGTTGAAATTGACCACCGCCTTACGCAGATTGATTAGCTTTGCTAATTGCGAAGGAACCGCTTAATACCACAAAGGCGAATAAAGCCGATTTACTCCTGTTTGTTAGCTCTTGTTAATGATTTACTGGCACACTTACGAATTTTAAAAACAATTCTTTACTTTATTCACTTTACTTCCTTTAGGTAAAATTACAACTTTGGTGTACTTATAAAATCATTGGCATGTTAAAGTTCGATAATATACACGTGTACGTACACCTTAGAAATTATTAACGTAATTAAATTTCAGTCGAGAAGAGTGTACTTTGCTATTATTGCGCGAAATCGCGTTCGACGGCCATAGAAAAAGTCTTAAAAGAAGAAACTTCGTTAAGTCTGAAATTCTGACTGGAATTGAGGCGGCGCAGCACTGTCCAGAGGATTTAGTAACAGACTAGAACAACGACATGCTGCTAATGTCATCTTTAAGCATCCATTGAGAATAATGAAAGTCTACACTTCAAAGGCAAGAGATACTAGACGCAGGCGTTGTCTGGAATGCAATCATCACGATTGCTTCATTCGAGCGGCTGCTCTTAAAATTTCTTTTTGATTCTGTCATGCATGTGCGGCATATGTATAATATTTGTAAATTTGCTTCCTTTTGCAAGAAAAGTAGAATAACTACACTCTTACCTAAAGGAAACTACTTATGACGGTTACAGCTTACGTTGAAAGCATTTCATTGGCTTTAAGCCAAAGTTTTGCGGTAGATAACACTTTCATTCGATTAGTTCAATCTGTTCTGAAAAATTTAATTTAGCGTCTACATGCACTATAAGTTTGATTTTTATCTCGTGGCGATATAGTTTTCAGGTTCGCCTTTGGATAATTTGAATCTGCTTTTATCTGAAACTTTTGTTCTATAACAATTTGTACGTTCGTCGTATTCAACTATAGGGAATATACAGACATATGTACAGACTTGCAGTATTCGCGATCACTTTTCAGTATAGAACATCTCTCTAACGTTTAGCCTTATTGCAGCTGAAAGCGATGTGGTGTCTTTTTTTGATTGAAGAATTGAAATTCTAGATTTATGTAATAGTTTGAAGGTGTTTCAGTCATGCTTAGCACACGTAATACCCTTTGAAGTGAGCTATATCAACCATTTATCGACTTTTAAACTAATAAAAGAAGTTGCGTTTGCAAGGTATTGCAAAGGCCACATTGAAGACATAGCCTGCTTGTAGCTCTTAATTTAAATGTTATTACTAAGAATTTTAGCAGCCACATCACTTAGTATTCCATGTGATTAACCTAAGTAAAGCATTGCTTATATTTTGAAAAATTGTCAATAAAAATTGCTCTATTATTCTTCAAAATATTTACCTTTATTGTTTGTACCCTCTTATGTACCACTTGTTATACCTTTCCGCTCTGCTTGCGTCAATGACTGCTTCTTCTTAGACCCCCGAACAAAAAGAAGTAATTAAATGCTGAATCGAGACGGCACCGATAGGTGTTTAGTGTTTAAACAGTTAGTTAGAATGGTTGCGTGAGAGCGTTCGTCGTCTTGATGAAGAATGTTCGCGAGTGCTTGTTATTCTTACTTCACATAAGTTTTTCAGTTCTGCTTCGAACAAAAATAATTTATGCTGGATTTGGTATATCTTTAAAAAACAATCAGCTTACTTCCCGTCTTATACGCGTAGACCTACGAGTGACTTGTTACAGTCATGTATACGTTTCTTGAAGCATCGCCACGAGCATTTGTTTGGGAGGAAATAACATCGAGGACGGATTGCAAATTACGCTTGCATCAATTTAGATCAAAGTTGGGACTAAAAATGAAAAGATCGTCGGCATAGCCCAGGAGTTAAATGTTTTCAGCAAGGGAACTGAACATTTTGTTAATACATAAATTAAAGCAAAGAGGACTCAATATATATCCCTGAGATTTCCTTTGCACAACAACATTATCATTGTTAATTAACATGTTTCTATAGAGAAATAGGTTATATAATAAATTACAGAATTTGGTAGGGAGATTCAAAGAGAGTAGAATAGAATTTAAGTTGTTAGAATAGAATTTAAGATGAATCAAACGCTGGAGCTATGATTAGAAAGATAATGTGGTTCTTAGCAAACGCTGAATTTATTGCTGACTGCAAAGTGACAATGACGTTTTGGGCAGCTCTGCCACGTCTAAAATCAATTTGAAGATTGCTGAGGATATATTTGGACTCGGGATACCATTCTAAAGGCGTCTATAACACTTTTCCGAAAAATTTTGTAAGATTGGAATATAAGACAATACATGTGTAGGAATTAAGATTGACTGGCGAGTTATTACAATGTCCTTTTCTTTCTCTTCTAACTCCTGAGTAGCTCATACTCGAATTTCTGATCTACCTTTGCCTTTTAGTTTTCGCGTAGGCCTACGGAGTCACTATTTCGGTAGCGTTCACAGTATTACCTGTTTCTAGATACTTATCTAATTGTTATGGTCTATTGAATGCGAGGCCAGTCCGGCCTGATCGCTCAGTAGGGGATAGTTTGATATCATTTGTTTGTTAAGTCCACTGATGGTGGCGCTAGCCCGCCTGCTTGGCCTCTCTTTAATTTAGTACCATCTGCTACTTTTATTCGTGCCTGATGCGCTATTCTCCGGTATTTTCTTTCATCTTCGTCCGTTCTGATTCTAATTCCTTGCCACCAGCTTCCGGCTTCTATCCAAACAGTTTCAGAAAGTTCGGGAAAAGTAGTAGAAGATGATGAAAATTATTTTGACTAATGTATATTATATCCATTATCCACACTCTCAACAAATGTCTTTTTCGAGTGAAAAGAAAGCTAGATGAATGAATACGGAATATTGACACAAATGTATGCATGTTAAAATCAAACTGCTATAGTATACAAACGAAAAACAGACAACTTATAACTATCTTCAACTACGTGAATTATCAGTGTACTACGTTGCCTTTGCCTACGGGAAAGGCAAGAATTGTGTTTAAAGCGTTGTTTAAATTGTGTTATCATGTCGGGGACACCAAAATGTTATGTATAACTCAAGATTTTTTGCACTAATTTTTTTTTCGTGAAAAACAGTATGAAATTATTATTTGCAAAACCGAAAAACCGAAGTGAAGAAGAAATGAAGTTTATTTTATTTTACAAACCAAACGATAATACAATAGGTATTTGTTTTGGAATTGAATAACAAAACAAAAGGGCATACTGAATACTGATACATATGTGCACTTATACATTAGAAATGAATGATACCCTTGTTTAGATTTAATTTGTTTTTTTTTTTTTCATTTTAATTTCACCTTTACTTTTTTCAAATTTTTGACATTGCAGTTGTGTTCGGTGTCCTTACTGGCTTTTACAAAGTTATTTAAGAAAAAAAAACATATAGTTAACTAGTTTTGTCTTGTTAGATTTCTAAAATTGGTAACAGAATTCCTTTCCTTTTATGCTGGACAATATTGTCCGGAAATACACTCGTATCTTTTAGTTGTCTCTAATGTTTTCCTCTTTTTTTTGATACCCATCACCGAAGGATGAGGGTGAAAGCACACGTCTGGTCAGACTGAAAGCTAAAGCCAGAAGAAAGACACAACGGGCATCGGACATCGGCAATATCTTCGTCGAATCGGTGATGTTGCCAACCGATTATTTGATCAAATGTATAAGTTAGAATGAGACCAAACGTATCTGTCTCATCCATCAGAGTTGTATTTAATTGTACTTAGCCTGCTCCTAAAATACGTGCCGTAGGCTGAACCTACAGTGAGGGACGAAAATAACATCAAACTTTGGTCCACAGAAGCTGTCGAAAACCAACGTTTTCCCCCTTGAGCTGTCTTACCGTATCGCTGCGAGTCCCAAGTTTTTACCGAAGGCAGCAACCTATAAATTTTTTAAGGATATAACCTGAACATCGTGAGATTTCCTCTAAAAATTTTTTTAAAACAGAAAATGGTCTCTGATATAATTTTTTATTGATTCTTCGAATCAATGACATTATTTTATTATTGTAAAGTTGCAAGCAAAACTGCAAGGCAGCTCGCTGAAGATTCAAGAGTCGAGTAGTACAGCAAGTTCGAGGAAAACACATTCAGATTTTTACTTTGAGAAAATATTTGTTTTATTTGTACATTTTGCCTAATCAACGATGCTTGTGTCACGCGGCTGATTTAACGTCCTTCAATACACCTAGTGACAATATTTGGAATTTTTTCATTTCTAATTACCTTTTGTGCTTGCTAAACCATATAGAACGTAACTCGGCTGTACGACTGCATTTGGAAGATCGATTTGCTGAATCCTTTAAAAACTCTTTCCCCCAATATCATCTTTGAATGTAATTTTTAAGTGGTTAAAACAGTTACAGCTTACAATAAAAAATCGCCGACTGATATGCAAAAAAATTAAAACTTTAGTTATACAGTTTTCACATTGAAGTGAAGTAAATTTCTTTAGAGATCTGTTTTTCGAAATGTTTTCACTAGAGTTACAATTAGTATTGACTATTGTCATTTTATATAAGATCATCATTTTAAATAACAGTTATTGTTTTAAAAAGTATTGTTATTCTTTACGATTTGTAGGTTGCTGAGGAAACTTCACATTTAGCTCCACATGGTGTTCCCAGTAATCCTATTCCTCGCGCACTGTCAAACACACGCCTAAATGAAATTAATCCTAATGGATCTTCAGGCAACAGTTATGGAACTTATCAAACCGTAGGCGGCAATTTAGATATTCCAGGCGGTAATCCTTTTATGCAATAAAATCAAATCAATTGAAATTGTATAAATTAATGGTTAATGCTTTGTTAAGTTATTTTCAATAGCTTTAAGATGTATTCATAACTTATATAACATAAGTTTATCTCACCAGAGTATGTTTATTACATAAATATAAACTTGACTAACCTGACTGTATACTTATGTCCATGCATGTAAACTTATATTACAACGCTACTTAAAGCAACACACTTTAATAGATTTAATAATATAAATTTGTTACTGTGCACTTACATTATAATATATAATACTGTTTACGAATTTTAATTAAATTAGCTTATTCAAAGCAAATACTTTATATTGAGTAAAGATAAAGGAAGGTCTGATTCCATGACTCTGAAAAACGCAAATATCGGCATTTGGACGTTGTCTCCCTTTCAAACCATTGATATCTTCTTCGAACCCACAGACAGCCTTCGAATACAATAAGACGTCTTTGCAATGGCTTCGGAAAATTAACTTCATTTATTTGCCAACGAAAAGAAAAGGAAACTATTGCACAAAAGTTTATGTTGCTTCAAAATAAGTAAATCACGAGGAAGTTCATAACTAAAACATATACTTTACTACGAGAGGAGGAAAGAAAAAAACCATCAGGTGTTAGTACTCGGTCTGGCTGTTCGACCGTGATGTCAGCGCTTTCAATCCTAACTATGAAGTTTGCGTCTAACTATGATCGTAGTTGGCTTGTTTATCCGTATCTCTGCGTTTGACTGCTGTTGAACAAAAAGATCGCTGTTTTAATCGGGCGCTACTTTTATAGCTCCCGACAGCTTTATTAACAGCCCATCACTGCGTTTTGTTTACAGTAAATGTGTATGTATTAATGGCACGTTAGCCTAGCTTAACCAACATCGTGTATTCTTAACCACTCACTATCTTTACTATCAAACTGTGATTGCTAATCCAACTTACTTGGTGCTTCTCTATATCGTTGCCACCAATTTTAATATCAAAAAATATATGATGGTACATAGTTAAAAGTAACTTTATATTTATGTATGTACCAAAATATGTATATGTTTGACATAGTTTTTGTTTATAAAAGCCGTTAGTTTATTTGATGTTAGACAATGTTAGGTAAGTATGGTTCAGCATATAATATAATTGTGAGTAAACTAAAGTGTTTGGGAGCAGTGGTATATAAAGTAGGCATGTCGGTTTAAAAATGTACATGGCAATTATATACGTCTAAATATATATGTGTTATATTCAGCTGTGTGAACATAAGATTGAAAAAAGAAAAGAACTAAATTTTCATAGTCTATACTGTTGAGTGTGCGTATCTGATTCTTTTTTATTTTCGTATAATAAAAGTGAAAATTTATATTTTGTACCTGAAGCAGATATCTGTATTTTTGATGAAGACTAAATTAACAACAGCAATTAACGGATAGATGGACGAACGGAGGTTCGGTCCTAATCAGCAATGTTTGGACTTTATAGGGTGTTGGAAGCGTTTCCAAGCACAATTCTAGTGCGGGCAGGATCTGTTCAAAACCAGTAATACGGTGCAAAACAAGCCAAAAAAGATCTATAACCAAATATTCTGTAAAGTAGATTGATTTTGTACAAGAAAAACAAAGGCAGATCCCTTTTCAAGTGTACTAAAACTTGGGCTGAAAAGAACCTGCTTCACCCAGCAGGTCATGCCATTGATATGTATGCGTAGTTAAACTATTCGATTGAAATTTGCAAAAAAGCCAACAACGATTTTTCTTTCTGGAAAAATGTGTTAGTTACCGACGAAACCAAATGTAATATTTTTGGGTTGGATGGTAAAGCTATTATTTGGAAAATACATAATGAGGAAGTTAGTTTGAAAAATCTGAGAGTAACTGCAAAATTCGGAAGTGGATCAGTGCTGATCTGGGCCCATTTCCGCAGCTGGTCGGGAGTCGAGACACTGGATCAAAATGTACATTTAAGTATACTAAAGCACAATTTTTAAAAATGTGTCGATAAATTGAATAGTAATGATGACTTGTACTTTCATCGGGACAATGATCCGAAACACAAAGCCTACGAAGTGCGAACGTGGCTGCTATAGAACGCCCCCCATGCGCGCAAACACTACCTGATGAGCCCAAACATAACTCTAATAGAAAATTTTGGGATTATCCCAACAAAAAGGTTCAGGAGAACACGGTTTCCAACAAAGTAGAGTTAAAAACGCTCTTAAAGCAAGATTGGCAAAAAATGCCAACTCACTGTGGCAAAGCATTTGTCGAATTCGTCCCAAACAAGCTTAAAATGATTATAAATAAGTAAGAAAGTCTCACTTGCCTCGCATACCCAATGATATGCTCCTCGCATTCTATTCCCCAAGTTCTTTTATTTGATATCCATATCGCAGATATTATTAAGAAAAAATTATTCGCAGTGGCTACCATATTCATTTTAAAATTAAGCCATTTTTAGGCAGATAATACATTGTAACGAATTTCGTTTTTCTATTATATAGGACTTGTACCACTAGATCGTGGATATTCTTTTCAAGAGAAATAAATTTCAAAATTCTTTTATTTACAATTACATCCTTTAACAGTAGTACTATTCGCAATTTATTTTGGCAGTACTCTCGACTCAAATGTTCTTGTCCGGCTAGTTCCGCAAATAGTAGTAGTTTATATACATTTTTACCAGCATATTACTATTACCTAGTTTCATGGTTTCATTTTTAATGCGTTAACCTGCTTTTCCTGCTTAGCCTTTCAGCTTGTTTCTCTCTTTTTTTGATTTACCACTTTCTTCACAGCTGTGAATCCATGCTGCTACTGATTTACGGCATCCTACCGATTAGAATCTCGGTTTAATCTCCTTCACGATTTTCATAACGCCAAAGTGCTCTCCGTTGGGACCTTTAATATGTTATTCTATGATTTCTTTGGACTTGGCTCTTGGGATCACCAACAATCTTCTTTTGTGTGAATCGTTCTTACTGTACCGTATCCGCCATACATATCCATTTTTGAAAGCTAGGATCTCCCACTGGACCCAATATGCTTTTGCTATGGGGCTTTCCTTGTCGATTTGTTCACTGTCAACACCTTTCTTAGCGGCAATTATTAACGTAAGATCGTCGTCGGCGAGTGGCGCATTTCGTACGTCATCCGTCGATAACTTTACGTTTGCCTCTACTTCGATCCAACAGACAAAGATATTTTCTTTAGCATTCTGTTCTTCAGGCATGCGTCCTTCGCGATCTTTTTTACTTTCTTAAGTCATTACGGTCTCCCGAAATAAGCGGGTTTTAGGATTTCCGTAACAATATCGTTAATGAGGGGTGTATAAAACAATTTTGAACATTCTGCCCTGTTTGCCATTTAAGCATAAAACCTCAAAGATGTGAAAAAAATACAATTTAATTATTCGTAACTTTTTGTGGGAACGGCCGATTGCGTAAATGCCGACGTAACGAGGAAAATTTAAGCCTTAATAGTTTCCGATGACAAGCGTTTAACTTTAATGATTTCCGATTAACAAGCCAAAATCCAAAAATTTAAAAAAAAAAAGCGGAGTTGTGTTCAGTTTACGCTCCACTGCGTACTACTGATCTAACCAATGAGTACACCCCCATTATACAGTGGTGGGTATAAAAACAAGGGCCTACATAAAAAATGTCAATTTATGAGATAAAATTACTAAAAAAAACAAAAATTCGTCGTGTTTTAACTAAAAAATTCCAGCTTTGTTTCCTTTTTGATAGTTTAATATATATGCAATGAAAAATAAAATAACAACAATTTTAGTATTATTTCTCTTTCGCTATATTCGCCAATAAAATTTACTTACTACAATGTCCCATTTTGGCTTAGGAGTAGCTGTATATATTCAGTGGCTACCGGAAGCTTCCTTCTGTATACTCACCATAGAGTATATTTCGATATCATTATACAATATCTCTGGGGCTGGGGTAGCTCGACGGCCCAGAAAAACACAAGAAATGTGTAACCATTTGTTATTTACGAAATTCAGCACTTTATTTTATTACTATCAAAACACCACCGACTCTCGCGGGAGTCCAGACTCGACCAAGTCTCAAATATCTTTGCCTCACTAAACTATCCTACCCTGTTCTTAATCTATTCTTATTCTACTCCTATTCTATTCTTATTCCACTCTTAATCTATTCCTATTCTATATTCTATTCTTATTCTATCCCTACTCCCTTATTCTATTCTTCTCAGAGACGAAGAACTCGTGAGGCCAAAACGAGGGACGATTTTGGCTTTTCATAGATTCTCCGTTCTTCGGGGGGAAGAAGAAATTGGTGATAAGCCACTCCGGTGTTGGCCGGTCGGTGACGGCTTCGGTTTGGCGCGGCTGTTTGCTGCTGCTGCTGCTGCGAATGTTACTGCGTTCGCAGCTTTTGCGTCGAGATATGGTCGCAGATATGGTCGTTCTTGCAGTTGTTCTTGGTGTTGGATTCGTATGGGGCTGCCGCTACGGCCATTGTTTAGCATTGTTACAGAAAGTGCAATGCGATAGTTATTGATTGATTCGATGTTGATGATTTTTGTTGTGGCTGTGCTGCTGTTGTTCCGTTGGTAGGGGACTACTTGGTCGTGGATGTGATTGTTGTTGTGTTGAATTTCTGGCGAGCTTGTTGCGGCAGTGGCTTCGGTAACCATCTTGTGGAAACGGCGAGTGCTTCCTGTGCCGTTGATGTTGTTGAGGTAAATGCTGATGATGTTATTGTGACGCCACTGTTATAAGCGATGTGCTGCCTGGTTGGAGTTTCTTGATGGTGTTGTTTATGTAAATATTGGTGATGTTGTTGTGACGCCATTAATATGATCGTTGTGCTGCTCGGTTGGCGTTTGTCGTTGATATTTCTGCTGTTTGTGTGGGTGCTTAGCGCGTCTAGGTGCGGCGAAGGCTGTCCTGTTTAGCTGCTCACTCCCCTCGGTGGCTGCCGGTGATGACGTACAGCTGTTCATCGATCAGCGCAGTCTGCCGGCCGGTGTCTCTGTACGTTGGAATTCTGCGAATATCTGGTTGATCAGTCCGGCCGCATTGAGACGGACTACTTTCGGCGGATCCGTGGTTCGGTGGCCAGGTGGTGACTGGATCAGGTCAGCACTTGAAACCAATTACAGGTCCGGCTGCGTCGTGGCAGGGTCGCTGCTTAGATGCACCCCCGAACAAGTGAGCGCTGTACATCGGTGTCTCATGTGCGGCGAGGGCCGCGCATAGGCTGTAGAAGCCCGGATAACTCGATAATCCTTCATTCTCGGCGGCGGTTGAGGATAAGCCGATACCGTCGCTGAAAAAGACTACCTCGGGGCGGCGCGGCTGTCGACGGAATTACTCCCGCATGTCCTCTTGCAGCTGCACGGCGGCTTATTTCACCGACCGTGGCGTGGTGCTTAACGGTTGTGAGACCGTCTGGCCCCTGTGGGCTCGTATCTGTTGGCAAGGTGACGGTTGGCTGACGTTGGGGTGAGGCGTGACGACCAAGGGTGGCCGTTCGTGTGCACTTTTTCTTGACGGGGTGGGGCTGTGTCGCAGCAGGCGTGCGCTCGCTCGTTCATGTGTTCACTCAGGTTTGGTAGTGGAAGCGTGGCCGCTGGCGGTGCTGTTCTCCACGGCTTCTCGCCGACATTGCTCGTTGCCTCGCTCGATGAGCGACAGGGCCGCTAGTGAGCGAACTAGCGTCGCCTGTTCATCTGAGTTGTTGATTTCGGTGGCACCGGGGATCTCACGTTCCCCAGTGTCGCAGCCGATGCTGAGCTGCTGGTGCTGAACGTTCGGTCGCAGGGCCTCCATTGGGTGTCGGGGGAGTCACGTGTGGCGTTGTTGCCGGCGGGCGCTTTGTGGACTGATCGTTGCGTGTTGTCGTTGGCTGGTGCTGTGATGTCGGAG